CGTAGGCAGAGAGAGAGAAGAGGACAACAAACGAGGGGCTGTGACAAACTGTTTCGTCGGAGTTTCACCGACTCATCAGGAGGCTGAACCCTCAACAGTCTGCAGAATCCCCTCACTGATTACACTGTAATGATAATCTACCTTAACCAAAATCAAAGTAGACTATCACTCACCCACACCAATATATACAGGGTTACCGGCGTTCGGGATGGGCCGAACGCCCGAACCCAAACCCCCGAACGTACGGGACCCCTTCGGAAGGCGTTCGGCCGTTCGGGCCGAACGTGGACACTAAAAAAAAAAAAAAAAAAAAAATCGTTTTCAAAAAATTCCGAAAACAAACTATGTTATGGAGAAACATAAACTAAACAACATTTGCCAGGGCACTACATCCAAGTTCTTTACCAAATTTGGATTAAAAATCCAATACAGAAAATAAACACTATGATAAAAATAGGAAAAAATAAAAAGAGAATTAAAATGAGTGTGCCAGCACCTTTTCGACACCTCCATCTTTGCCGATTTTTAATTTTTTTTGGCATTCACAAATGCCCTGAAAATTTACAGATATGTAGTTTGCATAATCAATAACTCATTAAAAAGTTTTCAAAAAATAATAAAAAATTTTAGGCCCCGAAATAAAGTGAAAACAAAAAGTTAAAAGTGAAAAAAAACAAAATAGTGAGTGGGCGAGCACGTTTTGACACCCCGATCTTTGACGATTTTTAATGTTTTTTGGGCTTAGCAGAATGACTTCAAAATTTATAGGGGTGTACTGTGCATCATAGAAAACGCATAAAAAAAAAATCAGAAAAAAAAACTTATTTTTAGGCCTCGAAATATTTTTTGGCGGGGGCCGAACCTGGAGGTGTTCGGCCCCCGAACGGGACCCTGAACGCCCGAACGTTCGGAGGCCAGCCCGGGGGCCCCCGAACGTTCGGTCAGGTAACCCTGTATATATATATATATATATGTATATATATATATATACTCCGATGAAACATGTTGTCACAACCACTCGTTTGTTGTCCTCGTCTCCCTCTCTGCCTATGTATATATATAGTCGAACAGAACTGCCCGGTGAACCGTAGGCAGAGAGACGGGCTGTGACAATACTGTTTGGTCGGAGTTTCACCAAGTGGATTTGCAACCTTTTTATCGATGTATGCATATCATCATTGAGATATATTTTGGATGGGAGGTGATGCCCATCTTTCTTTCTCCTTATCATTCTAATTTTAATCTCTACAATGCATCCTTTTATTTTTATTTTTTTATTTTTTTCCTTTTTTTTTCCTTTTTTTTCCTTTTTTTCTATTTTATTTTTTTCCCTTTTTTTTTAGGGAAATTTTTTGAAATGCCCCTGAAGTTTGCATTTATTTGTGGCGTGCCCCTGTGAAGCCCGACTTACCTTGTTTTGCCCCTCGGGCCTCTGAAATTTTCCGCAGGCCCCTGTCAGCATGGGGTGTAACTTTCCGATATGCCCTTACTGGACCGCTGGTGGCGTTTCGTAGGTCCGTCCTTGAAATGCCCTCAAGAGGGGCACACATCTTTCTGTGATGCCCTTGCAACAGTGGCGGCAGGAATTCAAATTCGAAAATGGCAGGTATTTCACGTGCCGCCACGGAAAAATGCAGTCAGTCTTCGAGTTCGTTGCGCCATGGATCGCTGCTCCCTCCTCCACCCATGCTCATCGCGCTTCTCCCTCCTCCTCCATCCATGCTCGTCACTCTCCTCTCTTCTCCTCCAGCCTCCATCCTCTATCCTCGTCCTTCGTCGTAGTCCTTGTCCTCCCTACTCCTCTTCCCTCCTCTTCCCTCGTTCTCCCTCCTCCAACTTTCTCCTCGTCACCCCTCCCTCTCCTCCTCCTCAATTGTCGACCTCCTAACCATCACCATGGCCGTCTTCTTGGCGCCATCGCACATGCACTCGCGTGCGTCTGTATGTGTCTGTGTGTGTTGTGTGTGTTGTGTGTGTGTGTTGTGTGTGTGTGTGTGTGCGTGCGTGTGTGTGTTGTGTGTGTGTGTGTGTGTCCTCCCTACTCCTCTTCCCTCCTCTTCGCGCGTTCTCCCTCCTCCAACTTTCTCCTCGTCAGCCCTCCACCTTCTCCTCCTCCTCGATTGTCGACCTCCTACCATCACAATGGGCGTCTTCTTGGCGTCTGTATGTGTGTGTGTGTGTTTGGAGGGTGTGTGTACCACGACCACCCCGTATGGAAATGGGACACTAGACGTTGCCATGGGTCATTGTATAGTTAGACAGACGTTGCAAGAACATCGCAATGTTTGGAACATATTAGAAAGGTTAGTGTTAGCATGGGTTAGGAGAGGGATTGGGAACCCAACCGTAGGGGGGGTGCACGCCCTAAAGCGCGCTTTTCGCCGCCTAGCACCCATAACAGCTCATCAGAGGGATTGGTCAATAGGCTCCTGTTAGCGTAGGGGGTGAGAGGGGATCAAGGGTTTGTAAGAGATACAACACAGGTAGTTAGAGGTTAGGATGCATGAGATCCATACCTGAGAGGTCATGGCTGGTGATGCAGTCATATCAGTCGCCGCCATAGCTTATTCGGCCAGTCTTAGGCGAGAGATCAGGGACTTCGTTGTACGAAGCATAGTGTGAGAGGCACAAAAGTGTGCCTTACCAGCCACAGACACCGGGTCAGCTTGCCTGGTTGTGTGCTTGTGCGAGAAGCGCAAAGTATTGGCAGACATGCGTGTTGATCCAGAGGTGTTCGCATGCACCGTAGATGGGTGAGCGCAGGAGGAGTATAGTGTGAGGGCGTGGTAGGATATACATGGTAAACATAGGCAGACAGACCAAGGAAAAGGGCGCAGGGGGAGCTTGCAATGGCGGTGGGGTCGTACGAGCTGTAGTTTGGTATGCAGTGCGCCATGGAGAGGGCGTGGGTCAAAAGGGAGGGGGCAGGGGGGCATACGGGGTTCTTGGGTATGGTCATACGGGATTACGGTTTTGGGTAGCGTAGTGGCTTTGTGTCAGGGGTTCGCGTTGTACAGGGAGGTGTGTTCAGTCGTGGTCGAGGAATGCGGTGTGTATCGCGTTTTTTCGCAAGGTCTGTGTTTCTGTTTTGTTTTGTTTGTATTGTCGTATCGTGGTCTGGCTATGTAGGTCCTTGTGCTGTGTTAGTCATATTGTCACAGTGGTTTTGTCATGGGGTGGTAGTGGCGTTTCGACTATTTGTCATATGTGGGATGTCACGTTTCTCCATATTGTCGTTCCTCGTAGTGTTGTACACACCTTGGTTGGGTCCAGTTTTGTTGGTTGTCTTTATTGTCTAAGTTTTTTTTTTTTAATTGTTTTTTTTGTGCATGTGCGTTTGCGACGGTGTTTTAGTGTATTACCATGCTTTGGGTCCCATAACCAGGGGAGTCTGAGAGAGTGGGTGTCTATGTTTGTGTCCATATTTGTGTTTATCATAGGTGAGATACATCGTTTGTTCTTGTGTGTGTTCCGCTAAGTTGTAGTTTGTTTATTATCTACAACATGTTTTTTATTTTTATTTTTATTTTTTATTTTATTGTTCTTTTTGAGAGGGTTTTATTAATTTTATAATTAAAAAAAAAAAGTTAAGTATTGATTTATAGGGATTTATTTATTACTACTATAGAGGCCTCTCTTTTATTATTATTATTATTATTTTTTTTTAAGGCTATATTAGTATAGATTTGTCTATTAGTATCTTTAGTGATAGTTATACCTAAATTATTTTATTATTTAATTTATTTTACCATTTTTATTATTATTTTATTATTTTATTATTTTTTTGAAACAATTAAATTCTATTACTATTTTTATTATTTATTAAAAAGTTAAAAACCATTTGTTTGTAATTTTAAGTGTTATATGTGTGTGTGTGTGTGTGTGTGTGTGTGTGTGTGTGTGTGTGTGTGTGTGTGTTGTCATCTTTTTGTTTACTTGTTTGTTGGACAGGTGGTATATGATGACGAATCGAAGGTCCTCCCTTCTCTTCTTCGCTCCTCTTCCCTCCTCTTCCCTCCTCTTCCCTCGTTCCTCCTCGTCCGTCATCATCATAGTCCTTGTCCTCCCTACTCCTCTTCCCCCCTCTTCCCTCCTCTTCCCTCGTATGGACTGCGAGTGTCAACAACGGCAACAGGGGCTTGCTGGAAAGATGGACAGCGGGCATATGGGAAACTTTTCTGCTGGTTCTCAACAGGCAGCCGGTAGGGGCATACTGAAAATTTGGTACCGGTACCGGTACCGGCACCGGCAAATGAAACATGTTTGAGGCCCAAACGACGCCAGGGGTTTCCTGGAAACTTCATTCGTCGTCAGAGGGGCGCGCCGTCAGAGGGGCACGCCGCAACTAAACGCAAACTTCAGGGGCATTTTGAAAATTTCCCCTTTTTTTTAAGAACACAAACATCAATACGACAGTACTTGAACAGGATGTGCTACTGTGTGCCCTGAATGACCACCTCCCTTTCTTTCTTTTTTGAATTTCCTCTTTTTCTTTTTTTCTCCCTTACTTTCCTTGTCCCTTCCATACCTGTTTTGTCCTCTCTTCGAGTCTTCAACTTGGTCTTCGTCTTTCAGACTCTCTTTTGGGACCTTTTCGGAAATGTCGGGACCTTTTGAAACATTTTGGGACATTTTGAGACATTTCGGTTTGGTATTGTGAAGTGCAGGTGGAGAATGGAATAGGGGAACTGCTCTCTGAACTCTTGGAGAATGTTCTGCTGAACCTCCCTCGCGATCCCATCCAGTACATGATTGACTACTTGTCGTTTGGTCCCGAATTCGCAGGTCAGGTAGTTTGCTCAACCTCAACACAAATAATAATAATAATAATAATAATAATAATAATAATACGTGATTGACTACTTGTCTTTTGGTCCGGAATTCGCAGCTCAGGTAGTTTTTTGTTTCTTGTTTTTGTGTTTTTTAGCTCAGGAAGTTTTTTTTGTTTTCCTTCTCTCTCTCTCTCTCTCTCTCTCTCTCTCTCTCTCTCTCTCTCTCTCTCTCTCTCTC